ACATGTTTCAGGGCTAGTACAGGTGTGGAAACTAGGTGACCAGAGGGTCCGCAAGGTACCTGTTTCCAGGCCCCAGCAACACTCTCCAGGCCTTCCCACAGGGAAGTCCCAGTCCTGACAGTTATGAAATTCAACAGGAAAAGGAAGCTCTGCTTCACAACTTCAGGTAAAACTTTCAAGTGTCAGCACACTTCTCTCATTATTCCTAATAAATAAATAAATAAATAAATAAATAATTTTCCCCCTTTCCCTCTGTTGTCTTTGAGAGGCACATTTAAAAACAACCCAAAAAACCCAAAAACATCATTTACATTTGGCTCCCTTATTCCAGCCAAAAATCCCATATTTTGAAAAGAAAAAAAAAGTGTGCCAAATGGACAGTATTCATTAAGTAATATTTAATTCTTGTCTTACTTTTACAGAAAAAAAAAAAAGAAGAATGGTGATCAGAGCTGTTAATTGGCCTGAGATAACAATCCATAATTCCTGCCAAAAGAAAGGACACCCAATGCTTTAATTAGCCTCTGCAGCTTCACCGAAGATAAAAATGCAATCTCCTTCAGGTTTTGGAAATACTGACAATAGCTGGTGGATCCCATTCCCACATTTGCCAAAACTCCAGAGGACAGAGGATCCTGGGCTGGGAAGCAGGAAATGAAGGGCTTGTTTCCCGGGGCCACACCCTGGCACAATATGTAACTTCAACCTAGTGAGGGCCACCCAGTCCCAGGAGCCCAGCTATTACAGGCATAGCCTGTGAACACCCCAATGCTATTTCGTCTAACTGTAGGGCCAGCCCTCCACAGGGCACCTGGAGAAAGGCTTCAACAACTCCAACTGCCGCTGGATGAGGGCTTGCACTGGCACAGAAAATGCCCATCCATCCCCTACTGTAAATACCACACTGGTATTCCCCTGGATCAGGCCAGAAAACAAAGCAAAGGACTCCAGCCCAGAGGCCAGCAGGGCCCTGCCGTGGCTGCGGCTGGTGTTGTGGCCCCACTCTGACGTCTGCAGCTGCCTCTCCTCCACTTGGACAAGTTCTGCATTGGGCTGGGAACTGCTGCCAAAATTCTGTCAGGGCTGCAGGCTGGAGAGGCTGGGGCGCAGCCACTGCACACACCTAATCCTTCTTGCAATCAGGACTTTCCAAGTGCCCAGACCTCCCTGAGGGCGGGCCCGGTTCTAGGGACCGCACTGCAAGGGCAGAAAGCACCCCAATCAGACCACCATGGGCTTACACAAAAAGATGGGCTCCAACACAAATAAGCCGACTGGTCCCAGAGGCCTCTGCTGTGAAGCAACTGCCCTCAGAGAGGGTTTGAAAGGGTATTCCATAGTGTCAATATGTACGTTTTTTTTTTTATTTATTTGACACAGAGAGAGAGATCACAAGTAGACAGAGAGGCAGGCAGAGAGGAAGGGAAGCAGGCTCCCCCCTGAGCAGAGAGCCCGATGCAGGGCTCAATCCCAGAACCCTGGGATCATGACCTGAGCCGAAGGCAGAGGCTTTAACCCACTGAGCCACCCAGGTGCCCCAATATGTATGTATTTTTATAAGCTGTGGAACTCCAAGGGTTCTTAATGAGACCTGTTTGTTTACTTTATCATCGTCTACTATAATTACCAAATCATTAAGCCTGGACAGACAGTCCAGTACTAGAGCATCAACATACACTTTTTACTGAACCAACTATATGACAAAAGGATGGCCCACCTACCTTCTAGTAGCGCTGTCGTGATCCCCTCATCTAGCCTGAGTAGGACAGAACCCAGCTTTGTGGTCTACCCAGTTTAACCCTCCAGCCCTCTGTAAATATTAATGCTCCTTAATGCTCTGACTCTACCTTCTTCAGGGAGGCCAGCACAGACAGGAATGTAGCTTTTTTTTTTAAAGACTTACTTATTTATTTGACAGACAGAGATCACAAGTAGGCAGAGAGGCAGGCAGAGAGGGAGGAAGGGAAGCAGGCTCCCTGCCCAGTAGAGAGCCCTATGCGGGGCTCAATCCCAGGACCCTGGGATCACAACCTGAGCCAAAGGCAGAGGCTTTAACCCACTGAGCCACCCAGGTGCCCCCCCATTAAGGTGACTTTTGATGGACACATTTTGGTGAACTTGGGCACTCTTTTCCTCCTTCCATTCCAACAAGAGTTCTAGGTAGAAAATCCTATTTAGATGAAACACCTGGTCTTCTAGGGCTGCAGGGAATTCTTATGTTGAAGGCTAACCCCCAGTACCTCAAAATGTGACTACATTTGGATAAAAGCCTTTAAAGGGGTAATTAAGCTAAAATGAGGTCATTAGGGTTGACCCTGATCCTATCTCACTGATGTCCTTAAGAGGACATTTAGACACAGAGATGCCAAGGATGCACATGCTCAGATCGTGTGAGGGCACAATAAGAAAGCAAGCCAAGGAGAGAGGCCTCAGAAGACACCAGACTTGCTGACACCTTGATATGAAACTTCCAGAACCGTGAGAAAATAATTACCTGTTGCTTAAGCCACCCAGTCTGTGTCCGTTTGTTCTGGCAGCTCAAACAGACCCATACAAGGGCCTCTGGGGCTATCAGGAGCCTCTGTGCAGCTGAGGAGTAGATTGGGCCACGGCCCAGAACTGCACTGTTCAACATGGTCGTCAGTAGCCACATGCAACTTCTTTTAATGTACATTTTAATTAATTAAAACTAAACAAAATCTTAAAACCCAGAGTTCCTCAATTACAGCAGATAAGAACATTTCCATCCTGTTGGGCAGCTCTAGACCAGAGAGGGAAAGGCTGTAAGTCTGAGAGAATGTTCCAGGAGAACCTTGTCTTCCTTTTCTTTTAAGATTTTAGTAATCTCAGGGGGGCGCCTGGGTGGTTCAGTCGGTTAAGCGTCTGCCTTCGGCTCAGGTCATGATCCCAGGGTCCTCGGATCGAGCCGCGCCATCAGGCTCCCTGCTCAGTAGGAAGCCTGCTGCTCCCTCTCCCACTCCCCCTGCTTGTGTTCCCGCTCTTGCTCTCTCTCTGTCAAATAAATAAATAAAATATTTAAAAAAAAAAAAAAAAGATTTTAGTAATCTCTATACCAAACGTGGGGCTCAAACTCACAACCCCGAGACTAGAAGTTGCATGCCTTACCAACTGAGCCAGCCAGGTGCTTCCAAGAGAACCTCCTCTAACCCAGCTCTCTCAAGGAAGAGATAAAGCGGCAACAAGAGCAAACACAGTGAGCATAAACCTGCTGCTCAATGCCAAAAAATATATTAAAACAGGACTCCAAGCCTTGTATCCAGCATTATTAGTATGTGAAAGTAATTCATGAAACCTTCTTCTGATTAATTCTGAACCTAAAAAGCAAGACATTTTTAAAATTGCTGTAGGACAAAATTGTGTATTCAAGCAAACAGCAAGCATTTATTGAGTACTTGTGACTCCTGAGGACACTTTGATAGGCACCACAGGGGGCAGAAGAGAAATATCAGCATGTTTTTGCCTCAAGGAGTAAAAAGCCTAAGTAAATATCAGAGAAAAAAACAGGTAGTGAGGGCTGTGTACAGACAAGCGCTAAGAAGTTCAGAAGGCTCTCCTAAGGGCTCTCCCAAGTGGTTTTAGCTGCCTGTGCCTGGGCACCGACCCTCAACACCTCTCCCTGAAATTAAAGGGAAGCCCTGCTCTCTGCAGCCCCCAAACCTCCATGCCTCTCCTTCCTTCATCCAGTTAATTCTTCCCCTGTGCCAAACATCAGCAGCTCCCACCATCTGCCCCCAAAGTCCCCGATCCCCTAGCTCGTCAAACCCAGCCTTTCATGATCTTGTCACAACTTAACACTCCATGTACCCCAAACACCCGACACCGCTCCAACAGCCACCAAATCTACATCCCACTGCCCCACACCTGTCCCCAAAGCCCCCTACAGAATGCCGTGTTTGAGGTCTTCTGGTTTTCATGGTCCCTTCCAGTAGGTTTCTGATGGCTGTCAGTGTGGCCACCTTTAGCAGCAAAGGCTTGCTGTCTATAATTTACAGCTTTTACTCTGCTGAAGACTTCCAGACCAGAAAATGGAAAACAATCCTGTTTGCCTAAAAAATATTTCATCCTTCAGGACCTGCCCAAATGTCAATCCTGGTGTTTCCCTGGTCCTCCTGTCCTCTGAATTTGTGCCTATATATATATATATACACACATTTCCAACAAGCGTCAAAAAGACCTCTCTGTTACTCCCCTAATGACTTTCTGTCAGACCTAGATTTTATGTATGTCTAAGACAGAGTTCCTTGAAAGCAGGCCTAATACCTTTCCCATCATGCAGCAGAGCAAGCAGGTTTCCCAAGTTTCATCTGTAACCTAAAACATAAGCCAATAGGCTGGAGCTCAGGCACTGTGCTAGGTACAAAATTCCCTTGTTATCTGAGACGAGCTCTTCGAGTAGTATGTTAGCTTCTCAATACACAGAAGCTGTATGACATTTATTTTGACTGCCTGGAAGCCAACTTCTGGTTCTCAGCTGCACTGTGAAAATACGAGGATGCCAGAGAGCAGAGATGCAGACAGGAGTAGTATTAAATACAGTCACGTTAAAAGTCAAGTGAAGAGCATGGACTCTTGCCTCACTAAAAACCTATACTTAATATTCACACATCACACTCAATCTACCCCTGTATCAGGTTGGACTAGTTGATAATTAACTGGCTTCAATTAAGTTCCCTCTTCATAAATAGCAAGTCTAAGTGCCATAAATGATGTTTAGGAAAAACAGACACACCAATGACTCTTGGAACTGGCTTGTTCATCCTTGGATAACAAACAGGAAGCCTGAGGAATGCCCGCCTGCAGTCAACCTTACCAGAAAGACTTGATTACAGACCTGCAGTCTCACACTCAGAGGCCTTGGCTTTCTCTGACCTGCCTGATATGTGAAGGGCCTCAGCTATTTAAAGCATTACATTAAAAAATCATGTTTTTACACCAACCCAAACCCGGGTAGGCTCCAAGAACAACAAAGCAGGACTTACTGCCATTGTCGTCAGAATCCTCACTGCTGCTGGGAAGGCGACCTCGTTTCATGATCTCCCCGGGAAACAGCAGGCAGCCTACAAAGCAATGAGACAGCACTTAACCCAAGATGATAATACACAATCATCAAGTTGTGCTTCAGATGGCAGCCCAGGATTTACAGCACACAAAAGCAAACAATTGGCTTTAAGTAGCATTTGAATTGTAAACAGCAAAAAGACCAAAGATACATAATTAGGTGCAATCTTTAACAGAACAGGTTCAAAGAGGGGGTGGGGTGGCGAAGTCACAAATCAGTAGGTCTCCTAAAGGTGCCATGTTTCTCTAGTTCCAGTGACATTATCACTACAACTACTCCAGGAGTCTTTTTAGCTGACTGGCAGCAAGCAAAGCAGAAAAAAACACGCAGCAATGAGCACAGTGCTTCCTCACTACAGACAGATTCATATTTTACATGTGTATATGGGGGATGGGGATGAGGTTGTGCCTGAATGTGTGAATATTTACACTGCACTGGGCATGATTATGCTTCTCAGGCAAATTTTGCTAAAATAATCCTAAAATCCAAATAACCTGGAGTTGCAGGAACAAAGTAAATGGGGTATTAGTAAAGCAATTATCTCCTCCAGCCATCTCCGACCCCTTGGCATTCAAAGCTCCAAGAGGAAGGAACCAGACATAGTAGCTGATCCAGCCCCCTCCCCTTTACTTGTGAGGAAATGAAATCAAAAAAAGTTTAAGCAGCTCCTCCCCCAAGTTCACACCAAATCCTATTTCACCGAACTTTACCCAACTCCTTACAGCCTGATCCAACCTAACCTAGCCAGACAGAGAGACACCTGGCCCAACCTGCTCTTGCTAACTCCTTCCCCATGATAATAGACCTACAGCATTACCAGGTAAGAGACTCTATTAGCAGACAGTGACCTGAGACTAAAAGCCAGTCAATGAACTTATAAAGATGGATTCCCTGGTCATATTCGCACAGGTAGCTTTCCAAAGAAATCCAAAAAGCTTTCCCAAAGTGAAGTTACTGATTCCCTTGGTATTTTTAGGAACTTGATCTTACTGCAGGGCAATGATTCCTGATGCGAGGAGGGCTTTACAAGTCAGAAGTACACACCCAACCCCTCAAGAAAAGTACATCCCAAGATCCCCCTCATTGGGAATCAGAGCATTGGAATGTGGTATGTTTCTCGTAGCCTAGAGCACAGGAACAGTGTGAGTTAAAATGTGGAGAACCACTGTGTTAGAACATGATAGAAATTAGAAACCCAAAGCTCCACTCTAAATGGACCTACTAAAGAGCAGACCAAAAAGGCAGAAACCCATCATACACTGTAGTCTGTTCCCACCTACAAAAGAGACCTTACGATTGACTCAAATGTTAAGCCCCTAATCTGTAATTCTCCCTGAGACACCAGCTAAGCTTTGTGAGTTTCTGTTCACAAACTGATTCTTCAAAAACCATTAATAAAACAATTTACCAAGTGGCAGCCCAGACATGACTTGGGATCTGGGTCATGGGCTACTTTGTGCACTAAGGTTTCATACCATAGGGGCGGGGTCATAGTCCTAGAACCCACCCACCCCTTTTCTGCAGAGCCCCATTCACCCATAACTAACACCCAGCAATCTATAACTTGGCCTGGGGCAGGCCCATTCCAGTCAGAAGCGTCCACACCAAACACCTGTGGCCAACTCCCCACTTGGAAGGACTGTCTTTCCTGCCCAGTCACCACATGCCGAAAACATCAACTACTGACAGCTAAAGTCTCCAACCTTCCAGGGAGGGCAGCCCTGTTTCCCTTCCAAAACAGGGGGCACAGGGAGAAGAGGAAAAAGCAAAAGACCATTTTTTCCTAAAAACAACTTCAAGCTCCCCAAAGCCTATTTACACCAAGCAGCTTTAAAAAAGGAAGGAATGAAGGAAGAAGGAAGTAAGGAACAAAGGAAGGAAGGGCTACCTAAAGAGGAATTCCTTAAAAGTAAGGGTGTGGGGCACCTGTGTGGCTCAGTCATTAAGCGTCTGCCTTTCTCAGGTCCTGATCCCAGGGTTCTGAGATGGAGCCCAAAACACACTCCCTGCTCAGCAGGAAGCCTGCTTTTCCCTCTCCCACTCCCCCTGTTTGTGCTCCTTCTCTCGCTGTGTCTGTCAAATAAATAAATAAAATCTTTAAAAAAAAAAAAAAAAGGGTGTGATGTGACCCAAAAGAGATGCAGCTCCCACCCCAGACTAGACACAAGAAAACCAGTGCTGATCACATCTCCACTAACTCAGACAACTTAAATTTACCTAAAAAGAGCTTGAAGAACTTAGCATCCTTTTCAGTCAAAAAGTCTTCCTCCTAGCCTTCAAACACAACTCCCAGAGAAAACACCCAGTTCAACTAAATGAAAAACGCCAGCACTGGCCAAAATAGAATGATGCTCCTAAACACATATATATAAACACTCTCTCAAGCAAAATTATGCAAGTAAAAGAATAAAAATAGTATTTTCCTCCTAACGCATTCCATTTACATCCACCCTGAAAGATGTTGAGAAATGAAGGTTGAAAATGCTATATTATACTTCTCCAGGGAACCTGGCATGGTAACAGGGGTTAGTGCCGGCAGAATCTCCTCTGTTGCTCTAACACACTTAAACCTTGACATCAGGCTGATTTATCTCACCTGGGGTTACTTGCTGTATCAAGAAATCAAAGTACACGTTAGTATCTTCAAGACACACAATACAGCGGTGGTATGCTTCAAACATCTGACCAATAAAAGCCAGTGTGAGAAACAGAGGGCCCTCCTCATCATTACCTTTGCTGACTCTTTAGGGTATGGCTGATTATTATCTAGACGATAGTGTAGTAAGTAATAAGTAAAACAACACTTCAGAGAAAGCACAAGAAGATACAATAGCGTATAATGCACCCCATGAACACGTGAATACCGAATCTACTTGGAGGCGCTGGAGAAAAAGAACTGCTCCGGACCTCATGGAATTTCTGGTCTGGTTGAGGACAGACAAGTCAACAGAAATTCAGTCATGGTTAGTGCTTGACAGTGGTAGACACAAGGCTCTGCAGGAACAGAGCTTGATGGGAGTCAGGGAAAAATTCCCGGAGCAGAGTCCTAAAGAGTAAGGAGAGGTAGCCCAAAGTGGAAGCACGACATTCTGGGAAAAGCACTGTAATATCTGACAACATACATGCAACATACCATATTACTCTACACAGCATCTTCATAACCAGAATCTTACTATTTGCTCAACTGCTTACTAATACACTTTCCTTTTTACCTTTTATCCTGTTGCCAAGCCTTACCGATTCATAACGTAGGACTCTTTCAAGTTCCCCTAACTTTGCCTCAACGATTTGTCTTCAAACACCTGTATCTGTATAGCTTTAAGCACCTCCCTTTCATTCTCTGTGCCTGCAATCTCTTACCCCTTCTGATTATTACAATAAATGAATCCTCTCTAATAGGTGACAGCATCAAGTCATTCCTTATACAAATCTCTCCGTCTGCTGCACACTTACAAATTAGTCCAGCCAGAAACTCCTAAGTGTTCTGCCACCTGGCCCCTCACAACTCTACCCAAGCATCTCTCTTAACATCTCCCCCTCAGCTAGGCTTGCCTCTGCTGGGCCAGGCCTCTTACCATTCTCAGCCTCTGCTAACGCTGGCTTCTCTGCCCTTCTTCTCCTCTGGGGGCCTCAGCGAAAAACCAGTAGGCATGGTCTACCATTCCAATTACAAGCACTTACATTTTGTACCACTCATTCCATCTTGTTTTAAAAACTTTTTCACCCTGCTTTTCAATGTGTTTTCTTCAATAATCAATTCTTGCTTTGTATGATCACCTAAATGTGCCATCTGTGTGTCTCTAGAAATTTATAGAGTCCTTCAGAACAGAGATCCTCGGGGCGCCTGCGTGGCTCAGTAGGTTAAGCCTCTGCCTTTGGCTCAGGTCATGATCTCAGGGTCCTGGGATGGAGCCCTGCATCCAGCTCTCTGCTCAACAGGGAGTCAGTCTGCTTCCCCCTCTCTACCTATCTCTCTGCCTACTTGTGATCTGTCAAATAAAAAAAAAATATTAAAAAAAAAAAGAGATCCTCTTTTAATTAAATATGAAAACAAGACACCATGGAGAGGGTCCTGCATAAAATAGCCTCAGGACAGCTACAATAAAACACACCCGGAACTCTGGGTTCAGTCCTCACCCACTCCGCCTGGTTTCATCAAAAGTGACTCAAGGTGACACAATTTACAAGAGCCTGGAATATCCCTTTGCCATGTGAAGTAGAACAGCTAGGCAGACAAAAATACTAATTATTAGGAATTTGGGACTTTGTCCAAAGAAAGGAAGACTACCTAGGAAGCCTGATTATAATAACATTGCCTGGAAAGGCCAAGTCAAAGGAGGTCCCTGGCCAAAGACCCTGGCTGGATGCATCCAGTGCCAATCCTCAGGCACCTCCACTGCACGCAGGGGCATGCCAAGACAACTAGGCACCAACTCCTCACCAAGCACAGGCACTATTTATAGGACCATCCTTGTAGACATTACATGCAAACCACTCTCCTTCAATCTTCTCTTCACACAGGTTAAAATGAGTGGATTAACTACTATATTAATTCGATTAAATTTGTATTGAGTTGGATACCCAAGAAAGGGTGAACAAGATACAAAATGGCCCAACAGAAAATACGGTAAACTAGACAAGTGGCTTCACTGCAATAACTGCTATAAAGGTTACTTGACTGCCATTCAAGGATTACAGTGGGACACGGCATACATAAATGAGATAGAAAGGTACCTTGAAACCTTGAAATTCCTCAGACTGAAACTGGGGGAAATACATCAGCATGCCCAGAAGCTAAGAGCAGCCATTAGCTGAAGGAATCCATTCCCAAGGTGGCTCAGGAATTTACTGAAGAGTGAACAAGTTCAGTGACCTGGGTGTGGTCCCAGGGAGACATGACTGGTATGTGATTCTGAGGAATAAAGAATGAGAAATGACTTCCGGGATAAGGAGTGAAGGGGTTTAAAAAAAGAATGAGATAATTAAGAATTCGAAGAT